ATGTGATGTTACTCATGACTGCAAGTATGTATTTTATTCAAAAAGAAGAGAATAGAGTGTTGTAAAGTTAAGAGAATAAATTGATAAGAACAATTCAGTTATCAGGAGAGGGAGATATGATATAGAACATTTTAATTAGGACATTTTTATTTATGATTCTTATCAAAGTCAGTATCAGATTTACAAATGACACAAAGACAAAATGTATCAGATTTGCAAATGGTACAAAGTTTGGAGAGAGTTATAATTTTGAGTAATAGTATAGGGATCTAAAAAAACTAGACAACCTAGAATGATTGACAAAATCTAATATGGTGAATTTTATTAGGAGGTAACATAAAGCCCTATACTTGCTCAAATAATCAATTGCCGAAATAATATATGGGTAATTTATGGCTAGAGAGCAGGTTTTATAAAAAACTATTTGGGGGTTTTAGAGGAATGTAAGCTCAATGTAAGTCAATATTATGATGTACAAACCAAAGAAGCTAGTGTAATTTTAGCCCACATTAATAGAAGTATAGTGTCATGGATGAGATAAGTGATAGTTCCACTGTATTCTACTCCATTAAGACATCATCTGGAGTGTTGTGTTTAGCTCTGGGTACCACATTTTAGGAAGTACATTGGCAAGGAGGGTAAGCAGGATGATGAGAGCATTAGAGATCATGCCATAGAAGTATAATTTGAAGGTACTGAGAAGCTGAGAAAGAGAAGACTTGTGGGAACATGTTATCTGTCTTCAGGTATTTGAAAGGCTGTTACATGGAAGAATAATTAAACTTGTTCTGCTTAGCCACAAAGGACAGAACAAGAAGCAGTGGTGCCATCTGGAGAGGCAGACTTTGGCTCAATAGGGTGGAAAACCTCCTCATAATTTGAACTATCTACCAGTGACATAGGTTGTCTCAAGAGGTAGTCAATTCCCCATCACTGGAGATTTTTGAGCAGTGGTTGGGTGACTAATTCTTGAGGATATTGGAAAGGTGATACCTGGTCAGGAACAGATTGGAGTACATGACTTCTGAGGTTTTTTCCAACTCAGAGACTGAGTGATTCTTTGAAGCAAAGGATAGTGTGAAGACATTGATTGTGGAGCCGGGAGCTGAGGATTTATAGGGATTACATCAAATGTAACGAAGGGAGGCCTAGAAAGAATTTTGAATTTTTTGACAATTGACTTCCCCTAATCTCCAACTTTGCATACTTCCAGCCTTACATATATAGTTTTGGGATGGGGAAATAAGGACACTAGGGTAAAATCTCTCTTCTACTGAATGGGGAGGAGAGATCTCACTCTGTATATGGGTGCTCTAGCTTTGTGTGTGGATGTGCAAATCACTACAGGTAGGAAGCCATCCTAGGTTTATCCGATGGGTGTATCCTATCTTTGTGGGCGTATATATGTGTCCTAACTTTGTGTTGGTATGTACTGGGGTTGTGGGGATAGACATCTTAGCTCTCATCTTAAGCTTTCAGATCACTGAGATCTTTTTCAGATGAACTGCTTACCTAGCTACAAAACTTCCATTTTGTACCATTTTGGAAGTTGTGTTTTGAACCCAAATGTGAGATCCTGTATTTATCCCTATTGGATTTTATTTTAGATCAGTATTCTGGTCTGATGAGATCTTCTTAGATATTTATCCTATCACCCAGTACATTCACTATAACTTCCAATTTGCAATCATTTGTAAATTTGGTAAGCGTGCTATCTATTAATAAAAATATTAATCGGAAAAAGGCTAAAAATTATTAGAGGGCACTGCACTGAGGTGATATCAATCTATTAATAACTACTCTATGGGTGTGGTCATTTGACCAGTTTTGAGGAACACCCAACTATACTCTGATCTAACCCTAAGCTTTCTACCTTGTCCATAAGGTTATCTTACCTGTGTATGTGGGTAGGTGTCTGATTTTGTGTACATGGGTGGGTGGCTTACATCTATGTATATGTAGATATCCTAGCTCTGTGTTGGGTCTGTCCTAACACATTATATGGTTTTTCTCTCACTTGGGGTGTGTGTGTGTGTGTGTGTGTGTGTGTGGTCCTACCTCTGTTTGTGAGAGTCCTAGCTATGTGGGGGTATGCTAGTTCTGTAGATGGGTCCTCTCATTTATGAAGGGGTCTTGCTTGGGGAGGAATAAAGGCTAGATAGGGTGGAACCAAGGGGTCTGAGGGTCTGATCCTGTAGCATTTCAGTTGTAGAGCATCCTGTCTCCTAGTGCAAGGGCTGTTGGAGCTATAGATAATGAAGCTTAGCTAATGTCCCAGCTGCTGCACAGCTGGGAACACAGCTGTGAGTGGTATCTGGGCCATTATCCCTCTGCCAAGGCAGGAGTTTTAGTTGGAGGAGAGAATCCAAGAGATGGGCAGAAGAAGGAGGGCTGCCTGAATTTTGTACACAGGAGGGAATGTTGGCATTGACTGCCCAGGTGTGAAGGTGATCAGTGAATCTAGCATTCTTTTTTATTGTATTGCATAACTGCAATTGTTGATTAGGTAATACTATGCTATCCTTCAGTAACATCCTCCTCCCTTGTGTCAATGGCAATGATCTTGAATTAACAGCCATACCAGCTAAATACAAGCTCTGGCATGTCTTGTGAAGCTGGAAAGGTTTTGAGTGCAGGCCTGCTGATAGATTGTCACCTGAGGATCAGCCTACATAAGTATGGAGATACACATCACATGAGGAATATTTTTGGCTGCAGCAACTCATTAAACCATCTGCTATGGTGTGGAGGGGGTGTTATCTGAGTTAGGGGAACAAGGATGCGCACTGATAAAATCATGGACCTTTTGAAGAATTGACATCAGTGCAACATCTGTAAGGAGGTACAAAGCCTAGAAAGATTGTGGCTGGTTACACTTGAATGGAAAAGGCAAGGATTTAATACAGAAGAATTGACATATAGGGTGATTGTCTTACACTAGCCCCATTCGTCCTTTTTGCGTTTGCCTTTTCCTTCCTGTTTATTTGCATGGGAGGCCCAGAAGATCTTGAGGGGTTCTGGGGAGCCATGGTGCCTCAGATTCACACAGCTCTTTGAAGTTCATTGCAAGGCAGTGTCTGAAATGATTTGAGGCAGAAAGCATGTTGACATTTGAGCAATTTATGCTAGTAAAAGGGACTTTCTAACCTAAATCAGATAAGTTTTGTGACAAAGACATGGATCTGGCTAGTGGGAAGAAGGGAATTCAAAAGACAGACTAAATGCCCATGCTGGCTGACCTGTGTTCCACCATAGCTTAACCCCTAGGGTTAATCCCCTGCTGTGGGATTTGACAAATCTTTTCTCTTCAAATGGAGGAAAAGCTGTATTTGGCCCTTTTTTGACTATTGGGTGTGTGAGGGCCCTACCCTTCTAAAAGAGCTGTTGCTTAGTATCTAGGGTCCAAAAAAAAAAAGATTAGGTAAAGTCTGCTCCTCTTATGAGGAAGAAACAGCAGCATCTCAGTTGAGGATTCCAGCTAAACCTCGGTAGGTGACAGCTGTGAGAACAGTCTAGGGTGGGCAAAGGTGAAGAACAGAAGAAATGAGACATGATATCCAGCAGAGCAATGAAATATCATCACCAGAAGACCTCAGCTTGCCTCACATGTGTGCTGGCCACACCGGTTTCCTCTGTGCCTCTTCATGTATGTGCACTTGCCACATGTATTCTCTATATACACGAGCCCTAATTCCCTCTCTCCCAATGTGCGCTCTTGCGAATGTCTACTCCTCTCTCTGATGATCTGTGTATTTATGAGAGATTGTACCTCAGGCTTATTTGAGGATGTTTACTTTTCTAAGTTATTTCATCAAATACTGTTGTTGTTTTTAACTGATTTCATCTTCTGGCTGAGTAGGAAAAATAAATACCCTGATAGAAGTTCCTAAACTATGGTTTTCAGTGAATGTAGGCCAACAGAGTACTTAGAATCTGGGGTAGCTTTTCTAGGGATCACATTTGTGAGATAGGCTTCTCCAACTATTGTACATTGTATATGATATTGAAGTTGTTTGGAAACAACGAATTTTTTCCGTTAGATCTGATTACTACTACCTCGGCTTGTAGTAAGAAGCCTCTTACAAGGGCTTGAGAAGTCTTTCTGTTGTTTACTGAGGAAACTGATGAAAGGGCTGTGACATATCATACAGCATGGAATAACCAAGTAATTACAAATATAACATTTTGTCCAATTAGCTTCAGAAACAGGAAGTTAGATGGATTTTGTAAATTAATCAAATGTATGTAAATGCGTATAACTGTCTCAATCTCATCAAGGAAGTGTGCTAACCATTCTGGCTACCTGCTTGTTACCTATTGCATTAGGAGTCATCTTTCACTAATATCACCTAGGCACAATTCACTCCCTTCTTAGCAGAAAGACCAAACAAGATCCCCCTTGGCTGCTTTCTTCTCCTTTGAGTTCCACCAAAATGGCTGATAGAGGCCAATGAATTGTGTTGCTGTGGCCTGTTTTCTCCCAGTGGCTTCATGTCAGGTGGAAGAAGGTACAGCTGCCACTGCTATGTGTCTTACTTCCACTTTACAGGGGACCTCTAGAATTTATCTTATCTTCTCTTAGCAACAGCAGGCTTGCCTTGGGGTTGATGATTCATCATGCTGTATTGCCCAGGGACACATCAGCCCATTCCTGCCTTTTCCAGGTTTTGATCATTGTATTGCACTGGCTTTCCCAAGTGATGTCACACCAACTTTTGCCTTTTCCATCATCTACTACTTTAAACAATAGCATTGGCTCTTTGTGCAAAGATAGCTCTAGCCTGAGACTAAGCACTCACCTACCAATCAGGTTATGGAAATGCACGCTTCTCCCCACTGAGAAACGTGTCAGACACCAGTAAGCATGGAGTTCATACCCAAAGCAGCTCATTTAAAAAGCTAGCATCACACACAATAGATGGTTTGCAAAGCCTGTGTCAGTTACTAAATGGCGTCTCCATCAGTGATCACATTCAGGGCCTAGGCAAGCTGACACTCACTTCAAATACTCCACTCCATCTGGGGTGGCTGGTACATTGTACCTTCTCATATATTCATACATCTCTGGGAAGCTTTGCTTCACATAGTCTTCAGCACTGCTTTCCCGAACTGTTCCGAATCGAAAGCCTTGAGAGGGATGATGAAGCTAAGAGAAAGAAAAACAAAGAAAAAAGCAGGGCTGTACTCTCATTCATGTAATTAATTTCCAATGTCCTCCTAATTTTTCCACTTCCTGGAACTTAAAGAAAATGTGAAAGTACAGTTGCCTACATACCCACACACATATATACATTTATATCTTAGCATTCACATCAGGCATCTTTCTTCTAAAGCATGCCAACAAATGGAAAATCCAATACAATCTCCCAGGACATTGGGAAAATCTGTCAATCAGCATTTAAGTAAAAGAATACTAACCTTTGGTTGCCATCTTGAGTTGTATGGACAAGAGGTAACGTTACCATATATTAACTGTAACAAGAATGGTTTTTCGGTGTGACTTATAGAATCAGTCTGTTTATTTGACAGCTACTATTTATATATAGTATCAGACTTAAATCATTCTCTTAAATCTCTGCAGGCTGTATTTCTCTTTGACTAGAAAGAACAATACAAATTTTCAAATAAGTTTTCTAATCTGTGATTACAAGGCATTTTCCCAGAGCTATTGGTTTATAAATGAAAGTTGTGAAGGAATCTCTTTTATGTTTACCTAATTTATATTTGTGGTATTTGATTGTTTCACTTTATCTAAAATAAATGTTTGGTTTTGTGGCGAAAGGATCTGGTTCCTTTAAGAAGTTAGGACACAAAAATGCTGAGTTATTTACCCAGATAGAGTTGTGCTTAAAGAGGATTAAGATCAAGCTGTTGCATGGAAGAGAGGTGGCCAGACACAGAGATATCATGTACCTGAATAATAAAACGGCTGAGAATAGTGGAGTAGGTAAACAGAAAACTAGGATGACAGAGGGCTGGGGAAGGGGGAGGAAGCTGTAGCTTCTCTGGAAAACAAGAAAGACAAATTAGGCTCATCGAGCCTAGTAAATAATGAGGACATGTTAGTGTGGAATTTGATACTGGATTTTAACTATTCCACATCTCAGAGTAAGATGAGATTAAAAGCAGATCTGTGAAGTCAGATAAACAAAAAGAAAATAGAAATTGAGCATTTTTCACACTTGAATAATACAGTTTATAGTTTGTGCTTGGGCTTTTTTTTACATTTGATTTATATGGTATTTCACATTTTATATTAAAATTTTAACTTGATGACTTTCTGTTCAAAATGCATTTATTATAAAACCTTTGTTTGGATATATGGAAAATATGGCTTTTTTTTTACCCTAAATTTTTTCCAGCCTGAAGAAAGTCTAGGTTGCTATGCCAGTACTATCCCAATGAAACATGATTAATTTACTAGTGGCAACTACCAGAGGTGAAATACCATCGTGTCCCCCACAGATGTGTTGGCAAGCAGTCTGCTTGTTTCATTCAGCTTGCTCTGTGCTGACCCATCTGTATCATCACAGGCCAGGTACACCACTTTCTTTCCTAGGACTCCAGATTTAGCAATCACTTGAAGTCATGGATTCCAACAAGTACTAGAAGGGGTTAAACAACCTTAGGACATGCCCTGAGCCATGATGAAAACATTGTAATAGTACTTATACCTTGTATTGTGCCTGGCAAAGAGTAGAGGCTTAATAAATACTTGTTGATTGATTGAAATCAGTATTCCATAGCATCGTGAGGACACATTTTAAAGAGCTTACAGCATCTATTATACATGTGCCATCAAATCTCAGTGGTATAAGAATTGTAGCTTCTCATAACTACTGAAAGGTAACCTCTTTTGTGTGGGTGGTGCTGCATGTAGCTAGTAAAATAACATAAGATTCAGCCACCAAGAGCAGTTGAGAAATGTTTCCAGCCACTCATGGAGAAGTCAGTTGGGTGGGTTGTGATTATCTGAGTTAAGTGTGCTTTTAGATATTTTTGTATCCTCACTTATGTAGAAAATGGAGAGGGGACACAGGATAATAATGGAATCAACCCCCTTTTTTTTTTAATAGCTGAGAGGTACTCAGTAGTCCAGCATTTCCAGGATACCACAACCTCCCACAATCCGCAACAAAAGTTTACTTGAGAGAATGGGACTCAGAAGGTATTTTCTTTTTGATAAGTTTTGTTATTGCTTTTTGTTTTCCCACCAGTCACTTCTCAGCTTCCTCTGCCCTGCTGCATTAAATCTTTTTTTATAACAAGGAAAAACATTTAAACAAAGCCAACCAACACAGCATCTGTTGAGATACTGTACTCCCAATCAATAGTTCCAGTCTCTCTTCTGAGAGGAGGAAGAGGGTTTCCTTACTAGCTCAGAAGGTATTTTCCAGGACACAGCTGTCCCTGATCTTGCAACACAGCATCATTACCACTCAGGTCTATTATTTAATCTATATCTGAGATACACAGCAGATGGTACTGCCTTGCTCTATATAAGATGCTCCCCAAGACAGACAAAACTCATGAGAATACAAATAGATTCATAAGGAAAGCTACTCAAGTATCTAGACTCCTCAGAGCCTTATTATTCTGTCACAAAGAGGTGTCACCCAATTCCAAAAGACTCATAATGGAAAATGCCATCCACATCAGAGAAAGAACCGTGGAGTCTGAATGCAGATTGAAGCATACTGTTTTCTCTGTCTCTTTTTTCTTTTTCATGGTTTTTCCCTTTTGTCCTGAATCTTCTTTCATAATATGACTAATATGAGAATATGTTTAATATGATTGTACATGTATAGTCTATATCAGATTACATGCTAAGGAGGGGAAGGAGGAGAAAAATTTGGAACCCAAAATCTTATAAAAGTGAATGTTAAAAACTAAAAAAAACCCAAAAAACCAAAAAACAAAGAGGTGTCACCTCCTCTTCTCTCTTCTGTTTTGTCAACAGGTAGCAGTGTAGTATTAATGACCTACTTAGAAACAGCAGCTTCGAAGCCTGGAACTATCTTTGCTTTTGTAAGCTGTCTGTAGACAGCCTCAGAGGAGGAGAGATTCAGAGGTATTGCCAATAACTGCTGTCTTCTTTCTGCTCTAGAGATCAATTGTCCTGCCTTTCTGACTGTTCTGATGTGTTCCCAACAGTGCTCATTCTAGTGGATAGATATTCACTTGGGCATTAGTAGAGACCCTGACAAGTCAAACTCTTAGTGGTCATAGTTCCCTTTCTATCATTGATGGAATGAATGTTGAGTTTTTCACATTACATCTCGCTACTTTGCATAGATTCATTTGCACCCACAAAATAATAATTTCATTTACTGAAATTCCATTGGAGTTTCCAGCCCCACCCACCTCATAAAAAAAGCCTATTCAGTTGGTGAAGCTCCCCCAGAGACAAACTGGGGTTTCTTCTCTTCCTTTATGGTCTGTTTCTCTGGCATTTCCATATAGCTGCTTATAGGGATGCTATCCATGTTTGTGAGGCAAATGGCATCAAGGCTTTGAGAACAGAGCCCTTCAGAAATAAAAATAGCTGAAAATCTGGGAGAAGCAGCATTTTATACTGCTCAGCATAGAGCATAGATATTCAATGATTTATTTTAAAGACTATCTTGTAGGTTATGTACCTTGCTTTGACATATGCACCTCATTTGATCAAGTGAGATACTTGTAAAACAGCACAGTGCCTGGCGTATAGTAGGTGCTTAATAAGTGCTTATTCTCTTCCCTTCCCCGTCTGCTTTGACATGGCAAGAGACCACATTCCCTATTACAGGAAGAAGAAAATGTCACATGTGAATCCAGTTCTCCTCTGTAGTTTTCTTACCTCTTATCTCTTGATCTCTTTCTTCCTCTTACTGTTCTCTATTAGAAATCTATTAGTTCTCTTTTTCTCCCTTGCTGATTCCTTTAGATTGTAAGCTCTTTAAGGGCAAGGCTGTCTTTTTCTTCCTTTTGTATCCCCAGCACTTAGCACAGTGCCCAGCACACAGCTGGTACCTACTGACTGACTCTATGATTCCTTTAAAATTATTTTTTCTTCCTTAGAAAGGCATATACTACTATCTTATGAAATACTTGTACAACGGTTCATAAAAGACTATGTTGAGGATGTTTATGACTGGGAAAGGAAGTAAGTTATTTATGGTGGGAACAGTGGATACTGACTGAAAGACTATAGGGCTGCATTCAAACCGTCAGAATTTTCAAAGAATCAAAAGGCCTCCTGCATTTTCTATAGATCCTCTTTGCAGAATGTATAAAAACATGGTTTAGAATTAAGCAGGATGAGAAAGGGTGGTTGGGCTGTGATTTGTACTAATGGAAAGATTCCCTACATAGTTGAAAGTACAGATGAAAGAACACAAGATTTGGATCCAGGAGGCAAGGGCCCAAGTCTCAGCTCCATTACTTCTTACCAGGTCCCACCCTTCCAGCCTTTCCTCTCTCTGTATTCACTGGTTTCATCCCTTCAGTTTAGAAAAAGGCCTAGATCTCCCTCATTCTTTACTTCACTTTACATTGCTATTTCCTTAAAATATCTTCCAATATCTTTCCTCCTTACCATAGTCTATATCTAGAAAAAAAGCCATCTGCTTTTATATCTTTCACCTTCATACATTCCACCCTTTTAACTCCTTGAAATCTGGCATCTAACTTTTGACTCCACCACTTGCCTGAAACTGCTTTTCTTGGTACAGTTAACAACTATGAAGATAACTCATAACCTGCATCCAGGCTCTTATCTCTGAATTGTCCATCAGCATCTCAAAGTCAAGACATCACCTTCCTGATGTCATTGGTCCTCTTCGAGAATGAAGGACAAACAACAAACAATACCAACATCCTTTCAGGTTTGTAACTTTGGAGTTGTTTTTCGCTCTTCAACCTTCCTTATCCCCTATATCCTGTTAGTTGCTAAGTCTTGCTAATTCAACCTCCAAAACATCTTTCACATTTGTCCCTTTCTCTCTACTTTAGTTCTGGCTTTTATCTCTTTTCTGGACAATTGTAATAGTCTTTGAATTTTTCTATGCCCTCTCCATGTGGTTGTCAAAGTGATATGCCTAAAGTGTAGGTTTGATCATGACACTCCTCTGCTCAAGAAGTTTCACTGATTGCCTCTTGCCTCTA